CCCCCCAAAAAAAACCAAAAAATCCCAAAAAAATTCCAAAAAAATCCACAAAAAATAGGGAAAAAATCCCCCAAGAAATCCACAAAAAAATTCCCAAAAAATCCCACAAAAAACCCCAAAAAATCTTAAAATCCCAAATTCCACAAAAATGGGGGGAAAATCCCCAAAAAATCCACACAAAAAAAAAATCCACTAAAATCCCCAGAAAAATCCTGAACATATCCCAAAAATCCCTAAAAATTCCACAAAAAAATCCCAAAAAATTCCCCCTAAAAACTCCCAAAAACCCAAAATCCCAAATTCCACAAAAATGGGGGGGAAATCCCCAAAAAATCTACAAAAATCCCCCAAAATTCCCAAAAAAGCCCAAAAATGACTCCCAAAAACCCAAATTCCACAGAAATGGGGGAAATCCCCCAAAATTCTACAAAAATCCCAAAATTATAAAAAAAAATCTCAACAAAAACCCCCCAAAAATTCCACAAAAATCCCAAAGAAATCCCAAAAAATTCCCCCAAAAAAACCCAAAATCCCAAAATCCCAAATTCCCCAAAAATGGGGAAAATTTGCTGAAAATCCCCCAAAAAAACCAATTTATCCCCAAATTTCCCATTTCCCCCAAATTCCCCCAAATTCCCCCAATTTCCATTTTTATTTTATTTTATTCCAAATATTTTTTCCAAATAGATTTCATGTTATTCCCACCAAATTTCCCATTTTTTTACCAAAATTCCCCATTTCCCCCAATTTTCCCAATTTCCCCTTTTTAGTTTCTTTTATTACCAATATTCCAAATTTTTTACCCAAATTCCCCATTTTCCCCCAAATTTCCCATTTTATTTTCCTTTATTCCCCAATTTCTCCATTTTTATTTTGTTCCCCAAATTCCCCATTTTTAGCCCCAATTCCCCATTTATTTTATTTTATTTTATAATTTCATTTCATTTATTTTACTTAATTTCTTTAATTATTTAATTTAATTTAATTTATTTCATTTCATTTAATTTCATTTATTTTACTTAATTTCTTTAATTATTTAATTTCATTTCATTTCATTTCATTTTACTTTATTTTTTAATTATTTATTGTATTTTATTTTATTTTTATTGTCTTTTATTTTATTGCATAGCATTGCATTGCATATAATTCTATTATTTTGTTTTATTTTATTTTTATTTAATTTAATTTTATTTTTAAAATTTAATTCCAGTTTTTTAGTTTTTATTTTATTTTACTTTATTATAATTTTATTTTATTAGTTTATTTTATTTCAGTTTTTAAGTTTTTATTTTATTTTACTTCATTATAATTTTGTTCTATTTTATTTTATTGCTTTATTTTATTTTATTTTTCTTTCATTTTTCTTTCATGTTTATTTTGTTTTATTTCATTTTATTTCATTTTATTTCATTTTATTATTTTATTTTATTTTGATTTATTTAAATTTTATTTCATTTTATTATTTTATTTCATTTTATTTTATTTGTATTTCATTATTTTATTTCATTTAATTTAATTTCATTTTATTATTTAATTTCATTCCATTCCATCCATTCTTCTATTCCATCCATTCATCCCATTCACTATCATTAATGAACGTAATTAACGTCATTAATTAATTGCAGGCTGGGTGGCCTCGCTGCTGTTCCAGGCCGGGCCCCGGGCATTAATTAACGTAATTAACATAATTAATTAATTGCAGGCTGGGCGGCCTCGCTGCTGTTCCAGGCCGGGTTAATTAACATAATTAACATCATTAATTAATTACAGGCTGGGCGGCCTCGCTGCTGTTCCAGGCCGGGTTAATTAACGTAATTAACATCATTAATTAATTACAGGCTGGGCGGCCTCGCTGCTGTTCCAGGC